TAATAATAATAATAAGTAGACAAACGAATTAGAAGTCACTGTATCCAAAACGACCGACTGTGAAATTCAAATTCATCTAATACTAACACACTAATGAACTTCGATGACAATGATACGGTACCTTGTCTACACTACTGTTTCCAATCGTTATCCCAAATATATCTGTTCTGATCAACGATAGGCCGCGGTGCGTTGATGGACCCCTTCATAAGTGTCCTTCGCGACTTCACTAGATTTCACTACGCGGGCTGACAGTGCACGAACGTTACACGAACGGGCACCAAGACGGAGAGAATCGTATTCGTGTATTTGTCCAGGAAACGAAGAAATCGGGGGTTGCGGGGGGTTGCGGAGGGTTGAACGGAGGCGTAGACCGACGCGAGGGTGAGGCCTATACGCGCACAGCACCAAACAAACCGGTTGTTCGCGACCGAGCTTCACGTCCGAAGATTCACACACGACGTTGGAAAGAACTGAATCGTATCCGGGGACGTGGTCGTCCTCTTCACGCTAGTGAGTCAAATTTACTGAAGACACCTGTCGAAAGAGCGTGTCTTTTATACGTCCGTAGTGACAATGAACGAGATAACGCCGGCTCCCAGAGTTTACACGCGACTGGGTTTCCTCGTTCCCGACCCTTACACCCACCACGCTTGCCACGATTATAAGTGCCGTCGGCGGCGCATCGTAATCGAGTCCCTTGATATACGATCGTGTGGTAACTTCGCTGAAACTGGTGACTGATCTCTGTTTGTGTTTTCCTCCTGCATTTACTTAGTCCTCGGTACACAAAGAGAAACTATGAATTATGTATGTGGGCAATTGCATATGAAATTTATCCAAAATACTTCTACACATCACGCACCTTTCTACATTCTTTATATTATGATTGATGACAGTGTACTTCACGTACGTATATGTATAAATATTGAAAGATGCATTAATTTCGATGCTCTCATTCGAATCACGTTATATAAGATCAGAGTGCTTTAACAAATAAGGTGGAGGAAGATAATTTCAATAACAATTATTGTTCCTTGAACCGCTTGACATATCGGCCCGACGTCGTGGCACGTGCAGGAAAAACCGTGTCACGGGTAATGAGAAAAGCGTCGTGGTTGCGGTAAGAGAAAAACGGAGCCTTTCACAAATTCCGTGAACGCGGTTTCCTCGTTGGGGGTTCGCGCGAACTTCATTAAAGTGGTTCGAATGCGCGTCACGGTTCCTGCCGCGAGGGACGAAACAAGGAAAACCCGACCGATGTCGAGGGACGCGATTAAATAGATAATAAGGGAATCCCAGTTTCCTCCTCTAAAGTTCCGCGGGAAGCCGATCCGCACAACCGCAAGCTTTAAAGGACGCGACCGGTGTGCCAAACGAAAGTACGACGTCGACGAACGGAAGATATCTTTCTCCGTTCTCACCGAGAACGAACAAGAATGGAACGCGTCACTATGCAGAGCGTATAAAATGCGACGACTATTATCGGCGTTTAAAGGGGAGAAACAGGTCGTGGAAGGCAAAAAAACTGGAACGTGGAAAGTGATTTGCACCACCTTAAAGAAGAGCGACCACAGCATCCGATGCCGCAATGAAGGAACTACTGCAGCTTTCACCCCTCTCTCGCACGTGCTCCCGAATGATACAAACGTGTTCTTGTTAGAATGAGCCAAGCTACGCCTGACCTTGTCCCAGTACGTTCATATTCACAAAGGGAAATTAATGAATGAGACAAAGAGAAGAACAGCGAGGACACCATTTGATACTTATGTGAATTTAAAAGAGAATGGAAATAAAAGATGTAGAAGAGATTCATGAGTCGAAGTTTGAAAATAAATGCCGCATCAGTCTGTATTTCGAAAGTATTCTAATATAAGATAAGTGAAAACTGAACGAACGCGTGATATGTGTCATATGGTACAGCGGAAGGAAACGTCATTCACCGATGACGATCTCGGCGAAGACATCTATCGTTATGTAATCATCGGTCGATGTTTGACCCGAGGAGAAGCTATGAATCGGAAACAGCGTCACTCGGTCAAAGATCGATGCTAGACCGAGCTGAGGAGACGACGAAGATGATCCCGTTATATTCGCGGCGCCACCATAAAATTCGATTTCGCGACGCGGCTGCGCGCGTATCGGTATCGCGTGCTGCCATTGACCTTGAAATTTCCGACGGCAAGGTCGCGACAGGGGCGGGAGACGGACGCACTCGAAATTCGCGACCTCGTATTGGGGACAGAGGAAGCCCAGCGCGACGCGGCGGACGAAGAAGGTCCGGCCTCCGGCGGACTATCTCGCGGCCGATTGCGTTCTGTCTGGAAACTCACTAGTTCGGAGCAGACCGGCCAAGTGACTCTCTTCGTGGGCTTTTCGTGGACCGCGATGCTTAGTAGCTTTCGAACGACTGACGCAACGGTGCCTCGGCGTCCAGACGCTTACGCAACGACGCCGTGTCCCCTCTTTTTCATCCCTGTCGGAGACGGATCGAGGTGAGACGCGACCGAGTCGAAAAGGGACGATCGGTCCAACGCGGCACCGGTGCGGTGACGCGTATGCGACGCGGTGGCGATCGGAAGTGTGCCAGCTGCCAACGGGAACCGGTGTGAACCGGATGAGCGTCGAAATTCTGGGAAGGAGATTCGCTCGCCGTGGTACGGACAGGCGTCGCGACGCCCCTGAGGATCGAACGGTGACGTGCGACCGCCCGCCAAGCTCTCGTTTCGGTCTCCCGATGACGTACGCCGCTTCAAGACCGTCTGACGTTTGCACCGACCAGCCGAACGGAAGTCGCGCCTCGCAACGCTGCGGTATTTTCCATCGTTCGCGTGCAATACGCGTGGTTTTTGCCAACGGAGCTTTTTTTAGATCGACGCTTTGGATCTCTCCCGCTCGGTTCACCGTCGCCGATTTTACTAGACCCGACGTTCTTTGCCAACTACGTTGAATCGGCGATACCGAAAAGACGTCGCGTCGGCTCGTTGGGTTTAATCGCGGATTCGAACGGAAGGGAGAGAGATCGATCGCGGGAAAATAGAAAAAATTCTGCGCGGAGACTGACTTCGGTGGTCGGATACCCGGCCAGTGCAAAGCGCAAATACGAAAGCGCAGGCTTGGCACGAGATAAATGTGGGTTGCTGGAGCACAACGGGTACAAACGGGCTGCTGCACCATCCTTGATGAATGGATATAATCCGACCGATTTATCACACTCCCGTTTTACGTCCGATGAACTTCAAGGGCTAGAAATGAAATTCACTAATTTTAACGAGCACATATTGAGATAGGACTCATTCAGAACGCATACGACAGACATATGCTGACTGGAAAAAATACACCCGGACTGTTGTATTCATTTTAACATTTATATGTTCATTAATTAGATTTTACTTTATTAAACTTTGGTGACACGGAAGTCAAATATATTACATGATAAAAAGCGCGTCAAGAAGCACACGCTATTAATATTTATACGCGTATTTCATGTTAAAAATATTATACGGCGTTAAAATAATCAGAAATATAGATCCGTTTTACTAACTAGATAAGTACGTAAAAAATTTTTAATTTAACTGTACCTATAACATTATCCGAGTTAATTAAAAGCCGATAATTATGAGCCGACGATATCTTAGGATTATTTCTTCAAGTATTAGGTGTAGCTATCTTTAATCATCAATAGTTTCGTCTGTCCGAGACCTTCTCGTAATATCGAGGCCTCTGTACGTTCGTGTTAGCAAGTCACCTTTGGATCCTCTCGGAAACTATCTCTCGCTCGTGATACGGGCAATCGAGTTCAACTCGCACACACATATACGATGAGACGAACCGTGTTTCGCGATAAAATAAAGTCGTATCAGTTTCTGTTGAGGGAAATGGCGCGATACAACGCTCGTAATTGATTAGTCGACGGTTCCATCGATTATAGGTTGTACTATGCAAATATGTACAACGAAGTCCGATTTTAGACACTGCAGAATGCAGATTAACAATGATCGACCTCGTCGTCTCGCGGTAGACAAACACGCTGACCCATTTCCGCAATGCCAGCAATTTTACGAGATCTTTAAAAGTTACTCTCTGCCTGATACGTGTTTCGACATTTACGAAGAACTGATATCTGAATAAGAAGACGAGTTGCAATAACTTCTACAACCGTTGATAACAATTTCGATACGTTTCTTAGTGTCACTGCTTTATGATCACAATTCTATTATCCAGTATTGACATGATAAATTCTTGACTTGAGAATTATTTATAACTCATGAATAGAATATCGTAAGTTGAATTCCAAGGATAAATTGATAAAATATAATTGAATACTGTGAATCGAATAAAATGCGTATTGGCAAGTTTGGCTCATCATAGATTAAGTGGTACATCATGGGACAAGTACAGTGTTCAGGAGGATCAACGATTATGCTACCAGCGATAATGGTATTACTCGCACGTGGACAATGATTGACTAATAAAGCTGTGTGAAACAGGCTGGAGAATAATCGGCTTGCCCTCGAGTCATCGGCAATTAGCAAATCGATAAGCAAACAAAACAACGGTGAAAGTGGACCGAGCAATCTATCAGTATCCTCGACAGAAGCGCGGGTCTCTTTATCTCGACGATCGGACCACGGTGAAATAACGGGCAAACATCGACGTGTACCCGCGGCCCGTGGCTAACCAACGGTTTCATTCCGTACCGTCATCGGTCATCGTATGCGACCAGGTTCAGAGTTCGAATTGTCGTGATTCGTGTAGCAGAAAAGAGAACACTGACAGTGAAGTCGCATCGATACCGCGGCTCGATTCCGGCCATCCACTAAAGTACCAAGCGTTCGAGACAGACTATCGATCTTCCTATGAAATTGGCCTACGGCTGTACCATTGTTCTCCCTTCGATACCATACCTATGTCCTTTGACAGCGAAAAAAGGAAACATAAATTTCGTATGTAATCGATCATGTTACGTATTTATTCACTCGAATAAACTCGGTATCGATTTCTCAGCGCTCGATTTAAATGGTCAAATTGCTCCCTCGTTAATCGCTGGATATTCGGCGATGGCATTCAGCCACGTTTTACTCGAAGACGAACCGAAGCGGCAAATCGTAGCCCTGAACGCGAAATTGGTTTGAAAATGCCGGTTGACTATTTCGAATAATACTGAGCCTCTCCGGTGGTCAGAGAACGGAATGGAAAACTAGGAAGCAGTCCCGGTGCGGAATCCCGGGCGAAACGTGGCGCGGGTGCAGAGAGGAAGGGCAATCACCTCGAAAGTAGAAGAGCCCAGAGTCGGAGGAGCTTCGGGCGCGACGCTCGCTCGTAATAGTTCGGTGGAATTTAATCGAGACGGCAATTGTTTCCTATTAACAGTTATGAAAGCACTCCGACGACCTCTGAACCGCCTTTTGAACGGTCGCCGACGTCGAAGCCTTACATACCTCTGCGGTCTGGTCACTTTCAGTGGAATTCGTTCGAGAAGATTCTGACCGAGCATCGGGCTTTGGAATCACCCGAAAATTGCTAAGCGCGTTCGAGCTACGAACACGATTGAAAGCATCGTTTGAAGCTCGTCTATCGCGCACAAGCAAATTATCGATGAGAGAGATTGCAAGCAGCGGTCCGGTTTTTCCCCGAACGAAAGTAAACGTCACGTGGCGCCAGAGTGCAACGTCTTAAAGATCGATGAGTCACGGACGCGCCTTCGTTTGATTGAAGATTGAATTGGAATCGATACGATTGACAGGCTAAATATAAATAGTTTAACAGTGGCGAAGGTAATGGGAGAGATGGTATAATAATAGAAGCCAGAGGAAGGTTTTAAATAACTCCACGTGCTCGCTGGGAAAGTGAATTGAAAGCGATAGTGCTCGATTAATAACGTAATTGATTAAACCTCTCATATCGAACGAGGCGGAGAGGAATGTTCGCGAACAAGTTTTCAGTAACTGCACGTTGCTAAAGGATTTCCGAGAATATTAGCAAACCATGGAAACTTGTTATCTTTGGAAGAACGAATCGAAGGAATAAACAACAGGGAAAGATTCTAAGAGGAAGGTACATTACCTAAGGAAAAGTATACTGTTTCTCCACAAAGTACACTGCGAGAGAATTCTTATTGCAGCAACTTGGATTTTCCGAGAAATTTCTGTTGTGCGATTCGTAACTGAAATGTTCACCAAGGGGGAGGACAATTTTTCTAAACAGTCGCGATTCAAATTAGAATTTTAAAAGCAATTTATTTGATGAAACGGAAGTAGATCACGCGAGGAAAAAAATTCGAACGTATCTTTAAAAGGAAAAACGAAAGAGGTAAATCGCCGAAGATGAAAAAAGAAGCATAATAGAGATAAGATGTCGGTGGTGTAGAAATAAGCCTTTGAAGAAATATATTACCACGATGCGGTAGGAGTGGTTGCAGCAGAGGCCGCTTAATAACATCAAGATGCAACGTCTCGAACAGATCCTTCCCTTTTCTCTCCGTTTCATTTTCCACCACCTACCGCCGCCTCTTCGAGGAATGTACTCTGGCCTCGCGTTTCCTCGTCAGAACATTTTTTCCGCGTTCATTGTTTGATCGCGAACGAAACATCTAGCGAGAGCAGTTCATTTAACGAGGATCGGTCCAAAAGCTTCGTGGAAGAGAAAGGAGAAATGGGAACATAAGGGTAGCCTGACGAGATACGAGGAAATTACGATTTTAATATATCCTTATTTATCGTTACTCGTTAAAAAAGAGAATCGCATGATTCACAACGATCTTAAAAGCCTAAATCAAGAAGTGGAAGTTAATACACCGAAACGATCAGATAATGATTCGGTAGCTAAAAATGAGTTCTTATCAATCATCGTTAATTTCAATTGAAATATCGCTCGAAGATTTGATTAAGCCGATAGATAAAGGACAGTTGAATGTAGAATTGAAATTAAACGATGAAAGTACAACAAAAGAAGCCTTATAATACACGTGAACGTGTATTCCTTCATGGATGAATGTGATGGATAGATCCATGTTCCATACGTTTTGGACTCGCACGTTCGGAGAACGTGAATATGATGGTGAAATGAAAATCAATAGTCCAGCAATACATTTCGTTTAATTATTGCCTTGGAATTATATAGCTATAGATTAAAAATGCATGTTTTACTGTCTTGGAACGGTTATGGAGAGACGAATAAATACAATTTACGAGCACGTATTTTATGTATAGAGGATTAATGCGACGGGAAACACAGAAACAAAAATAGAACTCTATTTCAAGTGGCTACGAATTAATGTTCGAAAACCATTTTATAACTTGGCATCTACATCGTACCCTGGCCCGTAGATGTATCCGTAATTCCAGTTAAACGAGTAAAAGAAGGTAAAAGTTGCCAACGGCTTTGGGTTTCCCTTTCTACCGCAGCGGGCAAAGCGCGTTAAAGTTCCGGCACGTTAAACTTGTGCAGTTTACTACACCTCTTTTTAGTCCTCCGAATGCTCGTTACCACCGGTCCCGATGTTTCGGGATTTGAATCGTCCGGAGTCAGACTTTCTACGTACTTATACATCCGGCTGGCGGTCAACACGGCCGCCGTATTAAAAGTTTTCACGCATCCGCAAAGCGGATTACCGCGCGGCGTAATCGAAACACCATGCCAGCCAGAAAATGTTCGCAGTTATTCTTTTCACTGCTAATTCCGTATAAACCAAGACTTCTCGAATCGCCAGTACCACGGAGCCATCTTCATATTTCCAATTAAAAAATGACAAGCTACCTCGCGTATATCGTCATTAGCAAAAAAGTTTCATCAAACCACGGCACCTCAAAATCATTGCATGTACACATGTATTGGGTTGTCCGGAAAGTTCGTGCCGATATTTTAGGACAATTAAAACGCAACTCATTTAAATATCGTGTATGGTTGATTTTGATTGATTTAGCATTCGTGCTAATTAACGTAATGTCGAGCGTGGGTTGTTTTCGATTTCTGTTCTAATCATATCTTCGTCTGTGGTGGACGGCCTACCTGGGCGTTCTTGATCTTCCAGGTCGGAATTTCCAGCTTTAAACCGAGCAAACCACTTTCGCACAGTTCTTTCGGCTACAGCATCCTCGCCATAAACAGCGCATATCTTATTTGCCGCTTGTGTGGCATTTTTGCCCATTCGGAAAAAGAAAAGCATTAAATGCCTATATTGCACTTCATTTGCCACCATATTCTAAGGCGTACAAAACTGATAAAAATTAACGAATCGTAACCAATCTTTTTTCCAAACATGACTGAAGCTATCTCTTTCAGAATATGTACACATGTCATTTGTTTTCAATAATTGTGATATATTCAATCAGGTCTCTCGCGCTACCTACCGAAAATCGGCACGAACTTTCCGGACAACCTAATACATGTATAAAAAAAAACTGTGTTTTATGTTTTGCTTTGTTGCAAACCACTAACTCTACTAGTCTCTTTTCTCTTCACTCTCCTTGACTGTTTCCTCTGTCCTGGCTTTGTATTATTCTATGTACGTGACAGATGTATTCAGTCGGCTGTCCGTAAATCGTAACGCGAGAATTAACACGCAAAGGGTTCAGAGGGGAGCAAAAAAATATAGGGTACGAACCCTCGAGAACTATTTGAGTGCACTAGAGGCGCGCGACACGGAATACAAAGAAAGGTACTATTTTTTCATGCACCCTTTTGGAAGGGTGCCGCGCGTTCGTTTAATCCTCGTCGGAGACCGCCTAGATGACGCGGAGAGAGTCGTCGACGATGTATAACATCGTTTCCGAGATCTATCCAGACACCGTTTACGCGCAGGTGAATTACTACGTTGTAGTCGAGTGGTTCGATTGTTTCAAGTGATTCCATTCAAATTCAATTGCTCCGGAGCACTTGTATTACTAATTCACGTGTTTCGAGAGCGAAACATTCATCGTCGAGACGTAGATATACGACAAATTAATGTCCGCGTGCTCATTGCTGCTAAGCGAAAATACTACAGTTAAAAAAGGCACGAACAGTTCACGTCCCCCGTTTATTGCTTCGCATCGATCATTCCTGGCGCACCGCAAGAGCGATTCGACCTTAATCGTTCATGAAGTTTCCGTATCCGTCTCTGTCGGGCGAACCTGTTCGAAAAATGCAGCAATCACAGGGTGGATCACTGTGGAGGCTACGAAATCTCGCTGCGTATTGACGCCGAAGGGACTAACTACCGATGCCATCGACGAAGATCGTAGGTTGTCGGACTGATCAGCGTGAATTATCCGAACGAAGTCAATGCTCGAGACGTTCAGCGACAGAAATAGAAGTTCGTCTCGGAGCCATTCTTGAACGATCGACCGATCGGAGCGGAACTCGACCCCGGGACCTCGAACCAGAACTAGACGAGATCGATGCTGCCGCTGAGTATCGAAGTCACGCACAGACCCTGACACGAACTCTCTGAACCGCGGTCGATCCGCGTTCCGCGCGACAGAATGAAATCATAACACTCGGATGCGGATCGATCGCGAACGATCACTCGCTCACGAGGGGTCGAACTTCCATTGACATCGGTTAAAACGACACGGGCGCGACGTAACGGCGCGTGTTCCCGACCGATTGCCCGATGTTTAATGTTGCACAACGACCGAGTATCTTTCTGACGGGAAATCCACAATCGGGGTAATTGAGTAAATTCAGCTAACGAATTCTACTGCATCGTCGAACGGTTGCGTAACAGTTTGTTAATTTAGAAATTAAAGTTTGTTAACTCTGGGATAAATGACAACGTTGACAGCATCAAGAAATGCTTTCGAAATAACAACTGATTTCCTTTTGCGTCTCGACTTAAATAATGGGTTTAGAGGGAAAACGTATTGGAACTCGTTTTCTCCGTATCTCCATTTGAAACCGGAAGACGCCCGAAATACATATGCATAAACCGCGTACAGTATTCAACGTGCATTTCGTAAGCCGTGTCGAGTAAATCAAAAATAGACCGAAACCGAGATTCTGTATCACTCAGGCACGATTGACCCCGAAAACAAATTCATCAGCCTTCTTATCGCGACTCTGTAACTTTCCCACATTTTTTAACCGCGCTAGTAACGATTACATAATACGATAATAGAGGGAATTAAATAAACTAGAAATAAAATGTGTCCAGTTGCTGATTATACTAACTACTAACATGACGCTGCGTAATCAGTCATTTATGTGGAACAAAGTCAACAAATTCTTCAAAGGTTATACAACAGATCTTTCAGACACATTCCAATTTAACTATAATTTTCTACAATTTTTTAACTCGTTTTATCATGCGATGAAACCGTCGATAATGGTAAAATGATGATTGACCGATGGCTGACATTTAGCGATTTTCTTTCTATTTTCTTTCCATTGCTTTCGGCGCGGTGTAACGATGCGCTTTCGTAACGGGCTGTGGACGGTAATTTATCTTCGTTCTCAGGATTTAGTGACGGATTACAACGGTGAAAAATAGAAGTAATGAGAATGAAAGAATTGATGGTGGACGATATTTTCCCGTTTGCTTACACCGCGAAAACCATTGTCGTTAACACGAGACGGACCTAGAAACGTTCATGTCCATCCGCTACTTGATCCTTTCGTTCAGATATCTGAACAATTGTGACTACGACAGATAACAAAACGAAGGAATTTCGACTCTCGTCTCGATCAATGGCGACCCGCTTTTTTGCGTGAAACATCGGAGTAAGAATCGAATGGAGACACAACTCTGAATCTAAAGTGCTTTGTTCAATAAATTTGCAATTCACGCCAGTCGAAATACGTACTACTGGAAATATAGATTCAGCCCACGCACCCACAAATAATAGTAGCGCAGAGGCTAACTCGAGAGAGCTCCGAATGCTGAAGGTTTTTCAAAACGCGATACGTGACAGAAAAGCGAGACACCACCGCCGATTCCATAGGAAAATATTCTGGTTACTGTCAAAACGAACTTCCCCGATCTGCAGCACCCACGCGATCTATCTCGTTAAAAAAATTAAACAAAGGGGAAGCTGGAAAGCTTATTGGAGTTGCTTCGACCATTTCCGAATCCGAAATTCACGGCGGGCGAAGTACCCTCGAATACAATATCGCGCAGGGAGCGGGACGTGACACAATACGGAACGAATGGAATCGGTATATCTAGGATTGAAATAAACTCCACGACAAATTGGGAAGGTTTTCAGCCCGTCGGCTTTCGTTGATGTAACGTTACGCAACGTATTCGTCGTCATTCGCGTGCGTGTACACGCGACGTTTCTCTTTTATCCCGCGGCTTAATCGCCACCTATTATTTCCGAACCGATTAATACCGGTTTCGCGAGCTTCGTCACCGCTAATTATTCTTCTGGTCTGGCAGAATTCAGAGTTATCGTTCGCGCGGGGTTAATCGTGCTCGGAAGCCTGCCCGGCAGTACCGGGGCAGAGGGGGAGGGGAAGCGTAGAAGGACAGATATGGAAAACCGCTGACGCGCGCCAGTTTTCCACGTGGTCGGACGTTCAGCGTCCGCTCGGGTTCATTTGCGTTTCGGATTCGGGTCACCCTCATTTCCGTCGTATTATTGTCGAGAGCGTTCCTTCTTTTCACCAGGGAGGACGACCGCCTCAATGGCGTGACGGGAATAAAGGAATAAGCACGGTTCCGAAATGCACGCCTGTGTGTGCACACTTTTCTCGCGTTTCTGTTTCCCCGAGATCATTTCGGACCAAGCTTGCGAATATCGTTCTGCCATGCGGCCACGATAGATAATCGTGCGGTGTCATATTGTTCCAAGTCATTCATGTTCGAATAATCTGAACACGCCTTCTATGTATTTTCTAATTTCTCTGTGTTTGATTCAATTAACAGAAATAATAATAGCAAGAACTGTCTCGTCTCACGGTTAAACGAAATATTACTGAAGGCACACAAGGAGGTATCGCACACCTTGTTCTCACCCAAGATACTAAACTTCTGCAATGTAACCAACTACCTACCCGTAGCAATGCAAGCATAATTATTCAAAATCCATTTATTCAAAGGCCATTCTAATGACTACAACGTTCTTGGGAAAGTGCTAGATAAGACATGTTCGTAAACAATATAAAATTAACGATAGAATTCTGCAATCGCTTAAATTACTCAATGAATCAGCCGGAAGCAGTAGGCAAATCGCGAGTCAGCTCTAAAACGCGTGAACAAGTTTCGCATCGTCATTTAAATTCAATTGGACATCTCCAAGTAATTGAAACCAAATGAATCGTAACGTTCCAGAGATTCCGCGCATCGTTGAACGGAAAAATAACAGCATAAAATGAAATATCATTTACTAGTCACGAAATAAAAGCGACAACTCGGATTTGTTAATCATAGAGCGCAATAAGTCGAAATGGAATGCAACAAAACAGTTGTCCCGTTGCCAACACACACCCTCTACACACCGATATAAATTGAACGCCTTAATGAAAGCCTCGTGACTCTTCTCTAGCCCAATTATTGGTCTCGCCTTGTCGTCGTCTCGCTCTTTTGGTTCGATACATTTTTACGCTTCGAAGACGCCAGAGAATGGCGCTTGTTTGCAAAACGTTCGGACGATCGAACGTGCTTACAAAGCGATACGTTCGTAAGTATTAATGCGATAAAATAACAGCTCGTGGTACTCACCATTTTGAAGAATATCTGCCGATGCCGGCACTCGAGTCGTAAAAATAGATCACAAAACCGTTTCGTTGTTTTCAATTCGTATATCTGATCAAATTATCCAACTCCTTAGATACTTTTATTATCTTATTATATTAATTCCGACTCGATCTATCCTCGATTCCTCTATCTCCTCGTTTTATATACCCTCGCAATAATGGAAGAAGAATACTGCATAAAGAATATCACTAGTTTACTTTGGCTGTATTTCTTTGCGAGTATCACACTTGCCGGAAACCTAAAAAAAGAACCTGCAACAAGTGGCACGCATTAATACGCTGCAATTGATACAAATTGTGTACGAACGGCGTAAGTAACGTTTAATCTATGAATAAGGGGACGGAATATTCCGGAGAAAATTGTTGAACGATGCCGTGTCAAAGAATGACGCTCGCAAGCTGGAAACGGAGCCGTCGTTAATGATGATAAACTGTTCTTTGAATGAGCATGACCGTTGACCGACATTTAGATCAAAGGAAGGTCTTTCAACGTTCAATTCGAAATTATATCACAATGCCGACCTTGTTCGCTGTAATACACCCGCGTTTGAAATATGAACGAACGCGAGTTCTTCTCGCCTTTTCCGGATCTACTCAAGAGAATTCTCTACCGATCGTGGGAATTCCACGAATTTCGCGTCAACCCGTGGCATTTTCGATTTAAAGCAGAAGGCGCTAACTTTCCTATTCAACTTGATTTATTCATCTTTATTCTATTCGTTTTGTTCAGTTTCATACGGATAGAAAGTCGGATAATAACAAATCGACGTTGTTCACGTAGAGCGTTCAGTACATATATGTATAGATTCGGTATATTCAACGCTTAAAGGATTAGCAATCGTCCAGGCAATTTATCTATTCTGATCTTTAACTTTCTACATTATCCTTCGAAGGAATGAATTAGACTCGCGATGTAATCTTGATAAAAGAACGATACGTCTGAGCTCTTTCGCCGTTCTCTCGCCCAGCACCTATAAATTTTCCACTGTTGGACCGGTATGAGGACGAATCGCATTGGCTGCCAACGCGTGATCTTACCTCGAGTGGCTACTTTCACTACGGCTTGCAATTGACCGAAGCGACGCGACGACAAATAGTAAACGCGAGGAGGCGAGAAACCTCGAAAACTGTAGGCGTAACGTTAGAAAGTAGACAAGTTACGATGTACCTGTCTAATGAAGCACAAACTCGCTGGCAGCAGATACGTTTGCGAGCACATGAACGATCTCGATTCTGCGTGTTACAGAGAACTCATGTTCTACACCTCGCGAAGCAGTTTTTCTTTGCCCTTGTTCTTCCTTTATCTTTTTCGCGTACTTTATCTTCAACACGCTTGAACGAAAGCTCTTCTAGACTCGTTCCTCGTACGAGCGCTCGATAAATCGGATCTGAAACGTGACGGGGACATGAATTATGTGATCGTGCTTAGAACACGCAGATCCCCTTTACGCCAGACCCGTCTTCCCGCTCTCTTCACCTTCCGTTCTTGATTCCAGTATTAATGGAATCGCGCATGTTCGTGGGTCTGACATAAGGGATAACCACGATGCAATCCTCTCCTTACCTGTTCGCGAAAATTAAACATCTCCCTGGGATTACGTAAAAGCAGGAAATCAGGTCGTCGCAGAGACTAACCATAGCTCAGACGCCTCTGGAGATCTCTCAGAGATTCGTTTGCTATACGTTCGCTTCGGATGCCTCGAGCACCTTTTACGGATTTTTAAAAAAAATTTCGCCGGAACACTACTGTTCGCACCTTGTTGATTGCGTGGTTGCTCGGATGTTTTCCTTCATACGGATCGATCCGCGTTCGCTGATTCTACCACACGATATTGGGACACGTGTAATATACGTTGGAGTTCCACCTATGAGTAGCCTATAAATATTCTCGTATGTTGATCATCTTGTTATTCGTGTTCCCAATAAACCTCCTCTGCTTCACCATATGACCACCTGCCAATCTAATCTGTTCCAAAGAAACGACTGCGTTAAAACGACAAGTTTTTACCTACTATGAAACAGAATCGGATTCAGAAGGCGTCAATTTCAAAATCATCTTGCATATACTTTCGAGTCACGAACGGATGAGAATGTCACACCGTCCTCATAGACACACGCAATCGCGATCGTTATACACGCGGAATCTTTGCGACGAGTTTCCATCAACAAAGGTGTATCGAGTCTTCTTTTTATAGCATCGCGTGATAAATACTACTGCGACGTCTTGAAACGTAATCGTTTCAAGATCATTCTAATTAATTTAAACGCTGCTTATGCGGGCCACGAATCCTCTGAATCCGATTCATTTAAACCGGGGTAAATGAGCGCGCCCTGGACGCAGAACCGGCCGCGTTTTATTGGACTTAATTCGACTGCTCGGTTTAATTCAATACGGAGACGTGCGTGCGTTCAAGTCTAACTTTCGTGAGGAAATGTATAAAGAGACGTTCGAGAACGCCTTAACAACAAATCGAAATTCGTGTTAAAATCGAACACCGTGTTACAATATAAATTTCTAATTAACGTATATACGTATAAATAGATTTGCTTTTTATTGTATATGACATTTTTATTATTCATACGTCCACTACTGTGTATTGTATGCATTTAATAACGAGGTGCATGGGTCGATGAACTCGAAGGTAATGACATTTTGCAGGCATCGAGATTCTATGGTTCGGAAATAAGTACTTACGTCGCGGTTTCGATCAATCGATTTGATACTTACACTCATCGGGTATGGGCTGTGTTATCACACTGGCAGCACGAAACTTCGCTGAACGACTCCTAGCCGACGACCCTGGCAGCCATCAACGAGCGCGAAACAAGCCTGTATAGACAGAAAAATGTCAATGTCAATAATCCGTTTCCACGAATGTAATTCAGCTCGATCTTAAAATTGATTAATTAAGAGAATCTACTGCTAGGGATTAAATTGTTTCGCTTGACGCAGAGGAAAGATATTGCAAATACTCATTACTGTTAAAACAGAGAACAGTCGTTGGACTCATTTTTAATTGGATTCATCCTGTATTAAATCTTTTTTAATACAGCGTTGCCAAAAGAACGAGGGTGAATATCTTTCGTAGCCACGATACTGATCCATCGCTTGCATTATTGCTGCGTCGCGGCTACAACGCGACGGAGACGAGAAAGTTTTTAAAAGTTATAGTCAACGCACAAAGGCGCGGCTTTTGCATTTGCATCTGAATCGCAGGTGAACGCCTGTCTCGGCCGCGTATTTTATTCCAGCCAACCTCATATATTTCCACGCCGCGCGAAACGGTATGGCGTATGGCATCGCGACACGAGTCGCCCGTTTCTATCATCCGGAGTCCTGTTCGCTCGCCATCTCCTCGAGGCTCCGTTCAAAATTTTCACTCGAGCCGTCTCGAGGGCGAGCGAGGAAAAGGGAGAATGGAGTTCTGGTGCACCGGAATCGCGCGCGCGCGCGCGCGGCGCGAATTTTCCGTTTCCCGAAAAGGCCCCGGGCGTATGAAACACGAAAGTACGTTTAGACATTGAAAACCGTTTCAAAAAGTCTCGATAGGATTTTCTTTCCTTAACGTATCCTACAGCTTTCACTGACTTTGCACAGAGCAGAGATACGGCAAATAATAGGGTCAGTAGTATAAGTCAATCATTAAATATTACAAAATGTAAAACTCATAATAAACGTCACTGCGTTAATATTTACGTCTAACTTCATCTCTGAAAGATGTAACAAATTGCTAAAAAAAACAACGTTTCTTATCGCCTAAAAATGTGACGCACTCACGAAGTTGCTTCAGAGAAAGTTGCTTTCTTACAGTCACAGGCTTTGCCAAGAAAAAAAAAAGAAGTCGATTCAAGGCTTGGCTGTGCTCCTGTACACTGAGGAACACAAGCAATTTTATCGAGGAACTGCAGGAAATCGCAATTCTCTTAGTTGGAAGAGGAAAAAAGTTCGCACGATCGAGAGATGACCTTAATCTTATCAGGAAATTAACGCCTATTGGCGCGAAGATAAAGGCCGTCGATCGAACCGCACAAACGCCGCCCGATAAAAATAGAACTCTAAGGCCGCAGATACGTCTAATTCTCATAAATGAAATGAACGTACCGACTTCTGCCGTTTCCATCTGAGAATTTTGCAAAACCGATCAAGATTTAATTCCCGGAATCAATTACACATCGTGATTGTCAATTGATCTTCAAACACGACGTCCGAACGACAATACATGCTAAACGCAATTTCCTTTATTCTTTATTTTTTTACACACGCGCGTTAATTTGTTATATAACGTTTGAACGGATCTGGCATAAACTCCGACTTGACGCAAACGCGATGCAGCAATCGTTCCATGTAGGTACAGGCCAATAAATTCCATGAAAGTTCGAGTTAACACGGGTACGACGACCTCTATGCCACGATCGATCGTGTATCTGTATCTCGAGACTGTGTGCTTAAAGGTACACTCACACCGATCAATCACCTGGAAGTACGAATCGCGTGACGTAGAGCACGAGGCAAACAAAAGAAACGGTCACCAAAAAATTTCCTTCGTCTAGACCCCACGATATTCTTGCTCGGAACGAACCGCGCTTCTTGAAGAAAGAAGTTCTTCTTAAATTAAAAAGCACTGTGAGGATACAAACTAATAAAAGATCGTGCATCTTCTTGATATTCCTGCTAACCGGCAGATGATTGCTCGTTCGCATTTCCGGGAAGTTTTCCAAATTAGAGCGACAGAATTTTTAAGCTTCAAAGGCTGCGAATTCCAGCCACTGTATCGCCCTCGTTGTGCTGACGTCTCGTAAACATTGCAATACAGAAAGAACTGACGCGTCGAAACGAAATATGAAACTAGCAATAGCGCACAGCCTTGTGTTTCATAACCGAACGTATTTGTACTACTGCGAATATATACTGTAATGACTCGATCCCTGATGTCGCGTTCTGTGAAACCTGCTTATCGCGCGTCGTGCGTCGAAAGACAAATCGATCTACCTGAAAACGCTGCACTGCAGGAGCGATTGAATCGAAAGTGGAATGGTTCATCACGAAAATGTTAAACCGCGCGGATCAATAGGCCGAAGGAACAAATTGCTCGAAAGTAGTGGCTCAATTAAACAGGCGATCATTTTCCTTTTCTATGCTAAGCTGTCTAAAGTCTCGCACACATACATGCACATACATATGTAATTAAAGCCCCCGATCGATTTTCCTAAAATTACACCTGCTACTCAATTTTAAAATTAGCAACCATTATCTTATCCGAGACTAATACGTAGTGACATTTGAGAGGAGTAATCGATTCACGGAAAATTGCTATATGAATGCGATAGTACAGGAAGCAAGTGGAATTCGTACACAGGAAGCTAGCGCATAACTTTGATAAACGGAAACCACAGTGAAATATCAGAACTCCGCTTATACAATTATAATGCAAACCCATTGACATTTCATGTTACATAAACACGAAACACGATCTTAATCGCACCTGTCTGTGAACTCTGAACGGTAAACTATAAATATAAATATTTTTTAACATGTCATGATTCATTAAATGAAATCACGACTATTAATACTTAAAGTCATTAATTATCGTACTATTTTTTTTTGTTTTGTAATGTGTATTTTATGGCAAGCTTTCTCTTCGATATGAAACATGCAATTATGTTGGCAAAAGTTACATTGTTATATTGCTTGCTGAATTATCTTCGTTACTTAAAGAGTTAAAGAAACAGGAAAAAAAATATGTTAATCATACGTTCGAATGGTCTATTATTAGTTACTAATGATGATTATCTAATAATCTTCGGAATATTTTGCTTATCGAAATGTTTCGTAATCGCAAGTAGTAAGGAAGGCAGAAAATCGATAAGGTTACTTGATAGACCGTCACGGATGCGTCACCGAATCGATACGCGTTTCCTCGTGACAAAAATCACAGTGGCTGGTTGTTAAACGAATGTTTACAAGTGCGTGCTGTTAGTTGCCGTTTGCATTTTTCAACCAACAATCTGCAACGAAATCTGCCCGAAAGTCGTATTCCAATGACTCGCTATTACTTCCCGATAAACGCGCGCATCGTTCGCAGTTGGAAAACGAAAAGTCTATACGGTATTTTTATATCGACTTCGTCTTATCAAACATCAAATGTTTCATGCCTTATTATCGCGATTACTTTATTCGGGGCACGTATTTGTGGGGCGAAAATATCAAAAGCAGGGATGCATTATTCAATCGTGAAATGGAATATTTTATTTATTCATACAAACGACGCGTTGGCATAAACGTGAAGCTCAGCGAAGAGTCAAGCCGATTGACACTTTTACGACGAACGATAAAAATGCTCCCCATTAGAGAGAGGATGCGGATTTTACTTTTTTTTCCTGTACATGTCTGCGATTGCCGTTACTCGTACATAAACTTCAAAAGGCGAACGATATGAAAATATGACTGAAACGAAATTACGTTACGTTCATCATTTCCGGATTTGCATTCCCTTAAGTACATATGTGCCGGGCCATTGAAAGAGGAATAATCTCTGAGTTAGTGAGCAACCAAACGTGCAAACGAATTGCTTTTTTTATGTCGCCAGGTTTGATCCGACGACAGGCCAGCTAGTCGATTCTGAGCCGTTGACGTCAGAATCGTTATACGCAGATGGAACGAGACACGTTTCAAAGGTGAGTTTCATACCAAGTAGAGGCATCGAAGAATCGACTGATTGCGTGTTTGTCCGCTTCACAAAATAAAAGTCTCGCGCGTTCGATGAGTAAAAACACAGATACACGGATTTGAGGATTCATCTTTTCTTTGAAGATTGAATATACGAAGCACGGAGCGCCGAGTCGACTCTAACGAGAGAAGTAACGGGGAAATTTGGGTCTTCTCCCGTTAATTTATTCTTTTCAGGGCATCGAGTATGCCGGGGAGCGTGTTTTAAAAATCGAATTAAACGGGCGAACGCGTTCGATCAAAGGGAGTCGGTGTTCGATCGCAACCGAAAGCCCGCTTAATTACTCGTCACAGTAGCAAAATAATGCACCGATCCAACGAAACACGGGATATACATAAATTTCACAGCTACCGAATCGGCTGAACACCGAGAACCGGGGAAACAAATTTCATTATCGTGGAAAATATTGCTCGCTTCGTACGGATTACCCATTCGATTCCCTAAATAATTTCAATCTCGATAATACATCACGCCGCGATGACCGTCGATGGAATATTGCTATATCGTCCGTAATTCGATTTGCAAATTTGTTCCCGATATCGAGTTCCGTTTTGGCCCCTTTTACGAAAGCGTAACAATTCGATAGAATAATTTGTTTTCAAAGACAAATTAAAAAGGTATCAGGACCGTTCGAATTTTTATATGATGAAGTCAGAGCGTCGAATCTCTCATTGTTTCGTCTCAAACAACGAAACGAGGTCCAATGACTTTTGGAAAATCACTCGTTCGTGCATCGATCATCTCGCGATCTCGGCTCGCGAACGCGTTTCGCATTTGAAAGCGATAAACGAGGGATCTGAAAACTTTCCTATTGACCGTGACGAGTGTGCCTACGTATACACATGGCCTCGCAGCCAGAGGAACGCTCATTTTTAGTTTTCTCTCGTGTCGCTTCTCGCGTTTATTTTCGGTCGATGAAAGCGTAGGCAGAACATATGTACATGCGCGTAGCGCCAACACCCGAAAAGAAATAACCCATTTTCGGTTCCCATGCGGCGCACGTTTCCTGGCAGAAGCGTTGGTTCCGCGAGGGAAAAATATGCGGCCATTCGTCCGCCACGAATGACAATGAACGGATGGAAACACGTTGCTTCGCGTGTTCCTCGAAATAGATAATCGGATTCGCTTACCTTCGCGAAAGGGAAATCAGCGATGACGCCTGTTTCGACTTACGTAAGATTTCGGAACGAGGGAATCGCTCGGCGAGCAGCGAACGAACGCGATTGCTGCCATTTGTCAAACGAAATGCGTGCGTATCTGTCAAACTCCAGAGGAGGTTTATTTCTGGGAAAAAAGAAGGAATGTGCAGATGGCAAATGACATGACGTCATTTCTGCCTGGACCTTGAAATGAGCGTTGTATTAACTACACTTCTCACAGCTCGGAATGGAGAAAACGATAATGCTTTCTGGAGAACAAAAAACATATTCCGTGGAAAATCGTTGAATGCACGTACAGTTTACAAATTCAAGTTCGATCGCTATTCCTGAGATGTAAGACTATCAGGTGAATAGAATGAAAATAACATCTCCTGGTACAATCAAGAAATCTTGTATTTTATTGTAATATCGTGAATAAATGCAACCGCAAAGAGCACAAGGGTCAATAAAACGTCGTGGAATAACAGGAATCTCGAGAGCCCTGCTGTTTTGAAATATGACGGGTTTAAGATAATAACGTGGCTCGCCTCAGCCGGCGGATTCGAAAGCTGGCGAGGCTCGTAGTTACCTTTACACCCAGCGCTATCACACTGACGTAAGGTTTGCGGACTCGAAGATAAAAGCTACGCTTGACCCCTAGCTAAGGTGATTCCTCGTGATTTCGACGATCGAGCAAGATGCTCGACGAACTTGCTCCGATTCCCGTGATTCACGACCCGACCGGCTATTTTCTGCATGGAGGACGCTCGCCCGCGTTTTCGAGCATTCGACCGCACCGACTCGTCCCGTTCGAAATACATTGAACAGCGAACTGCATAACGTAATACCCATTCCGTAGAATCTCTTGTGCAAGGTCTGTTTATTTTACCTCCAGCTGAATTCCCGGCGAATTTCATTCAATATGATAGGAGCTACAATCGTGCAAGGGACAACGAGACTGGAACAGATGGTGGATTCCGAATGTTTACACGTTCGCTGAGCTAAACACGATTGAAACCCAACGTTCTCGAAGTTGCAGCGAACCTGCAACCAATGCCGTTTACGCGAAGGACATCTATCGCGTCCTGTACAACGAAAGTTCAATCGGAGCAAGCAATGCTTGGGTCGGAAGACGATTTCTGTCTAAAATTAGAATCCTACTCCTACAGAGATTGAATAAGGTAGCCAATATTGTTCCTTACGCGTTGAATATACAATATATACAATAAATCTGAAATACTACGATCACTTCGAGATAGTCAATGATCATTTTAACTAATGACTGCAAGTTTTCTTATACATATTCCATATCTTTTGCAATTTATGTATAACGATCTGTGAGTAAGATGATTGACGTAACTACTTGAATGGACTTCCACCTCGAATCCAGTCGGGCGACCTTTCATGCATTTTTTTCATTAGAAATTAAATCTCCTCTCAGAAGCGATCCATCGATCGATCCGCGGACTCCGTCGATGCGGGACGCGCAAAATTCAAATCCGGGGAGCCACGCGCGGATTCGAAAAATCGATAAACTCGTTGCGGAGCCCATGGCCGCATGCATCCTTGAAAGGCCTCGACCTCGACTAAAAATTCGCTCGTGACGGGCGGTACTACCTGACCTGAGCAGGTGAAACTCGACCCAACGGGGAACGAGTCACGAACAGAGGCTGCACGCTGTGCCCCGTTACGACACGAGCCGATTTTATCTGCTCTTTATGCTGGCTCGAGTTTGAGTCCAGACTGGTTTCTCGTAGTTACATTTAAATTCCACAAAAACACGCGAGTGAAAAAGTAAACACGAGAGTTCGTAACGTAACGAATCATACGTGATACTCGGAAAACCGTTGTAGTTCATAGAAAATAAATCGTTCAGCAAATCTCCGTTTACTGAGAAAAGATTTTAATTCTTATCAGAATTATGTGAACATTTAACAATTAATTAACATTTAACAATAAAAAACATTATGAACAATTAATTCCTTGCATCCCGAATTCGTATCGAAATTAGTTTGACCAATCGATCGAGTAAATCGATTTTGCAAGTTATGCATGCGTGCATTCTCGAGTCGCAATGGGGAAAACAGCTCGCGCCTTGGCGTTTCTGGAAGCTACCAGAGACTTGCTAATTCTATCACCGTTGCTACTGAACAGTGGCGCAACTATGCCAAACACGCTGATATCTGAGTAAACAATGTACAAGTACACGCGATAAGAGGTACGTTCGAAAGAAACCGGAGCCAAACTATGTACAACCATCTCAGTTTACTTCGATTCGGGATCGTATATCGATAGAACGACGCTTTGTCCGGAGTCTAAATTATCATGTACAACCATGCATCTTTTAAATGCCGGAGTTCGCACGACACGATTAATGAACAATAATAAAGCGTAGACAAAAGTGATTGTAAATGGTAATAGAAGTTTGCAGAAATAGTCGATTCTTGGACGTCGGTCCGCGTCGTTCCGCAGAAATTTCAGACAAAGCTCGAGTAGTAAGTTCGCGGAACAACGGATCGTGGAAATCGCGATCGATTTACCTTTTGTAAGCTCCCCTGTACGCTACTAGTCAGCAGGTTTTTGAAATCGACGATGGCGAAGTAGGTTCGACACACTCGTCGTGAAATCAGAGCGACGAAACGATCCCTTCCGTTTCGGAGCCGAGTAGCGGTGTTTTGTAAATAGAATTGTACGTAGCGATAAGAACGCGGAAAATTGGCTTGCTTAACAGGAACGGCACGATCGACACGTTGCCGACAGAAGGCCGTTTTACACTGACCCCCTGCCACTGGAACTCCTACGTATAACCATCGTCTCTACGTCCTGCCTCGGTTGCCATGTTGCGTGCTTTTGCCTCTGTGTGGGTGATCTATAGCCTGCTCGACGCCGATAGCCTGGCCTGTCTGTGTTCGTACGTGCGTCGGTGTATTTCTGTGTCTGTACCTTGTAAGTGCCGGTCTCCACCACGGAAACCGTGCACACAAAAGCAAAGGTTGTACGTGTGACGACAAAGAACTCCGAATTCTCTTTGTGACGCGACTCGTTTCCAACACTCGGTCACCGATCTTCACAGGGAAGGGGATTCAAGAGCGATCGAACAAGATCGAAGACGATCCGATAGAATACAGACGTAAATCGAATGGAAAATCTTTGGAAAGAATCGCTGACTCACCGGGAAACGTTCGCGAAACGATCGATAGTGGGGAAGTTGCCGTTGCCGAGCGTTTCGGGCACCAACGTGACCGCGATTATGCGACCGGTATCTATCTATATAGCACACGCGTGGATCTTAGAAGTGTCAATTCTTTTTTTTGTCACCTAATCGGCTGATAACCGAGCGGCAGTTTCGCGGCGAGGAATGCAGATAACGCGAAAGAGGCGCTCAGCCTTGTACGACAAATTGCACTACGCAAAGAAGGAGGCGAAGAGGAAAAAGCGACGAGCAATTAGCCGAGGGCACGGCTATCGTAAAATGCGATTGGGAAATCAAGGGAGATCGATGCGAGTCGAACGAGCCGGGATACGCGATAAAACAATAGTACATCCAACGGTTTACGTAATCGCGTATCATAATTCAGGTTTCAATTATTGGCTAATAAATAATTGTGATAATTGAGCGAGTACGCGCATTCCCAGCTCCAGCTGACTAAACAATCTTCGCAAAGAGAGGCTACTGAACGAGAAAATCGACCAAACCGCGACGACACGTTGTCTCCGATTAAACGTGAAACAGCGCTACGTCGCTCGCGTTAGTAATAAATTCGTTTGACAAATGATTTTGTCAAGAATCACGGGCGAAGTGACAACAGACGAATCAAAGTTGGTTGTTTGCAATCTCCATTTGCATTCGCCTAGATAACACACTATTGACGTCATCGGACGACATCTTGTACGAAAAAACAGTTGCTTCCTCGGTTAAGACGATTTACAGCCGATCATCGAGACATCAGCAAATTGTAGGAGAAGTTCTGTTTAGAATTACAATTATCACGTGTAAAATGCATTCACGTATTTGCATGAAGGTCGATCGCTGTCCGACCGATTCGTTTACTCGAAACTCGCGATTACGAACAGACTCCGTTACGAGTCGAGATTCTACGATATTTTCCACGAATGAAACCACAACCGTGACGTACTCCGGGTAACATCGCGACCGAACATTTCGCATTAGCTCTAATCGTTGTAAACTGCTACTTACGTAAAATTTTCTTTTAGTCACGGAATAGAACGACCGCTTGCGTAACGAGCAACAATTCGTTATTCGATTGCAATGGGCGCGTAGCGAGACCTTTGAAAACTCTGCGAGCGTGGCTATAGCCGCTGTTTGCTCGTACCACACCACTTGAAGAGTAATCGATCGGTCGTGAATCATCGAGTCACGAGGGCTGACCGTGGTGAAAAGGGACGCGTTTTCGTCCGAAAAACGGACGATTTTCCCCCGTCGGCTCGCCGCTGCTAGGCGCAACACGCGTCACGTCGTCGCCCATGCATCGACGGCGTAATTAAATTTCAATGGCCATGTATTTTTCGCGAAAAATTTCACCGATGCGATGCGCGCGAACAGATTCTAGATAACGGATCGGTCGGAAAAAAAGAGGGGAATCGGCAGGGATAGATACGAAAAATATCGTTAATTCCGGTGCGGCGTTATCGCGATGAAATATTCAGCAGCGTTAAAAAACGGCAACGGTACGGGCGAACGAAATTTTACGCTGCGCGTCACCGCTGTAGAATTAAATATTCGATAGTCAACGTTACGCGTATTGCGGGCCAAGTATATAATTTTTAACCAAAATTTACTGCAACACGTATCAGTGTGTTTGGTTGGATTATCGACACTTTTTATAGCTTCAGTGTATTTTGCGTTCCGCGTTATATAATCTATGTTATGCGATGTTAACGTGCATCGGGAATATTGGATTCATGGCTGGCGCATCTATACAATTTATTCGTTATTACGGTTATTTATCTAAATAAATGTGCGGGCCCCAATTCGAATAAGTCACGTCTTGATTCGTAATTGGCCGTGCGGGTTGTCTTCTCCGTTCGGTGACTCCACTTAACCCAGTTGCGTGTCATACATTTTGTCGAAGTTTATCGTCACGATAAGACGATTAGTCTGTCAAACCGATATATAATTATCCGGAACCAGCGAATTCCATTATCGAAATCGTTCCACATTATCGGATTATCGTCAAACCACGTTCAAGATAACGGGAACTCGTGCTACAAATAATTAGTTAATCGTACCGCGAAGTTTATAGGTAACCAGAGTTGCTCGACTTTATCGACAACGGTAGTTCGTCTCCGTCGGAAAGAATGTAAGCCTCGCATGCATAATATGTAACTCTAATTTCACTGTGAGGCGGCCAATCTCGTGGAAATTAAGTTAAATGCAGCAGCATCGCGGTGGCTGTCCCCCGTGATAAATGGAGCTCGTATTCGCGATTCGGGGTATCAACTTTTCATCCGAGTGACGTGGAACTCAACCTGCTCCATTCCGGTTTGCCCGCCCCTAAATTAACCTTCGAAGCAACCCTTCCGTCACGGCGAACAAAAACGATACGTTCTTGTTATAGGAAATGGACTCAATAAAAAATTAAACTGCTTAACCCTCGGGAGGCCCTCATCGATCGTCGGTGAATGGAAATCGTGCTTCGCGTTTGAAAGAAGATTTCTTCGACGTATATCTTGAGAAGGGGGGCAACTGTCTAGCTTCAATTACCAAATTCTAGAATATCTTCGAGGACGAACCGCTCGATACTTCGACTTCGCGAGAGAGACGAGGTCGTACAAGTGCCCCCGTCTCGCAGGATTTCTTCCCTGCGGAGTACGAATAATTTGCATACGATTAATCTTGATCAGTGCCGGCAGTCTCATCGGTAAAGCAAGCAGGAACGAGTTAAACAGCGAGTAGGTACGGCGGATCGCCCGTGATAGATCGTTACGTCCGCGAAATTCAGGTTACTGTAGGTCGAATCTCTCTGGAACCGTCACTGAGGCGGGAGTCGATCTAATTAGATACAGTGGAACGTCGATTATCCAAACGTCGCGTCGCTACGCGGAAACGTCGTCCAATGGTGTATCGAGAGCTGACTGCCAAACCACGGAATCCGTTATCGCACCGCGAGAACTCACTGGTATTCGTCCCTTCCTACGTTCTTCGTCGAGATATTATCCGACGGGACTATGATGAAAACATGTTTAATCCCACGTTCTTATTTTCACATTTTTTTATTTACTTGGAATAATAAAATGATAGTCGACGATTTCAAAGACTTCGAGACTACGAGTCAGATCTGAGATCGACAATTGTGCGGCTTCCGGCGGAAACCTATTTTCGTCGATCCTCCACACGCATACGTCTCTCCTTACCGAGAAGACTCCGAAGTCTGCGCGCTGCATGAAAGGAATTTAATTTTATCCCCCATTGAGAACGTGACGCACGAAAATTACAGAATCGACGGGCTATTGCCAAAAACGTATCTCGAAATCGGCGATGTAGCATGTTAATTAAAACCAATTGAGTACAATGAGTCGTCGCAACGGGTGTCGCAAACCGGTGTCAGTGCAACCCGCGTGGTTTCGTCCATATTTCTATTCCACGCGAGTCTGGCAATGGATCGTCGACGAAATTAGACGCAGTTCTCTCTATCAGCGTAAAGTCATCGGTGCGACGGCCGCGGCGTGACGGGCCGAACGAAAGCGGATCGAACCGGTTCTCTTCGCGCGAGAACCGCAACGCGTTTCCTGCCCGAAGTTACGGAGCAGATTCGCGTATGAACCGCGGTGCCAAGACGCGCCTTGGCTCGGCCCGTCGGATCGAACGATTAAAATTAATCGTTCATTAATATCGGAGTCGACGCGATTAAACCGCACGGCGCGGCGTCGAAATTGAATTAGACGCCCTGCCATTCATTCACCCTCGCCCTCGCCCTTTCGGCGCAGGCTCCTTACCCCATTGTTTGGTGATGGATCGTTATGCCTACGTGTCGAGCTCACCTCGAGACATATTCGGCGGGTTTGATCTAATTAAACAGTCCTCTCTCCATCAGCGGAGCATGGCACAAGGGCGGACGAGCAAGGGAACTGATTGAATTGCGCTTCGTGATCTTACGCGACCAGCGAATCGACGGTGCTGTTCGATCAGACGCCGATCACGTTCAACCAAGACGTGTTCTAATCAAGCAAAGCGGTTTACAAGGATCTGCTTTGATCGATACGCAGTTTCTTGGCATGCATCGGTGCTGATTAAAATACGATTTCCTGGATTACCGCTAACCCGGCATCTACTCGCCGTTCGACGTCCATTACAACGTTTCCATCTTCGTAGAGAATAGAAATAACGATACATTATAAGTGTTATTCATTACCATTATTGACTGTGTTATTAAAATTATAAACTCTATCGAAGGCTCTTAATTCATCAGCAAGAAGCACGACTTTATTACGTAACGCGCTATTAGTTCACTTATCCTGTTAGTAGTCCGGTTCGATAATTGTCGTCGACGCGATCCCGAAATTTTTCGAGTTACAATCGACTCACCCATGTACCGTTGGATAATGCAATATTTTCGTTCCACGAATCGGGAAGTGAAACGAGAATCTATGAGAGCAAGGACGTTCCGAATAAATTCGACTCGTTTCAATTTCCGCTCGCAATGGCATCGTTACCAACCCGTACACGCCCCACGCTACGTTCCTCCTCTTTTTTTCTGTCTGCATGAATTATTTCCACGAACCAGCGATTTCGCTACCATCACTTTTATCCGAATCTATCCCCGGATGAACGCTAATCGTCTGTCAGCTGCACGATGTTGGGTCGAAACGCTAAGTCGAATAAAGATTATTCTTAATTGGTGGTCTTTTGATTAAAGTGGTTGGATTGTACAATCTTATTAATCGCTGACCTAGTACAATTACAATATTCATCCTTCTTCATTTATCTGGACGTCAGAACATTAGTATGCACATTTTTCTCCTTACGTAATACAGCAGGTATATTCGTGAGAGAATGTTCATTTATTTGAATTACATAAAAAAGAACTCAGCTTCTGGTCATTTATAATACACTTGTCGGCTAGGATGCTCTTACAATAGTGCCGCACCTCGCAAACGGCCATGATACTAAATCGATTCGCAGTTCCATCCAGTTTACCGAATTATCTGATAACAATGAGTAACAGAGTTGCGGCGCGAAAGTCTGTCTTTTAAATTTCGTCCTCCCTCATCCGCACAGCTGAACCGGATCGATCGTAGTATTTTTTTCGTAATCGTAGAGGGATCAATAACGTGGCGCCGGCAGTAACTAATCCGTGTCTGTGGCATGTAACGGGAGAATGAAATCGTTGTTTACCAGTCGGACAGTTGGCTGATTTTCGAGCGTTAAACCGCGGTTAACCGTTAAACGATGACAGGAAGATCAATAAATCGCTGCCCAACAAACTACAGATCCCTCCAGCGTTCCACCAATGTTGCACGTCATCAGTTTTCCGTGGAAATTACAAGCAGAGAAATGTCTGTGTTTGCATCGATGAGGGTCACGTCCGATCAAGGCAAGAGAAATATTCGAGTCAATTTTGTTAATGGCAAGTCGAATATTTGGTAATTAGGAGGAGAGACGACGTTTGAACCTGTCAATTTTGACGAAAGTTCAAGCACTTTGAATTGTACGATATCAGGAAATTTAGGAAGACAGCTGAAACCGTCGACCAGGGATGCCCTGGAGGAACAACTCTTCCGAGATTAACCCCCTCGACTTAGTCTCTCTAGGCGACTTACTGTCGCCGGATGAAGGGGGATATCTCTTCGAGGAAGGTGCTCGAAGCTCGAAGAAGGTTGATAGAGGATCAGCATTCACTGCAACGGTCCCGTGTCGTGTCACGAAGCCGCCTGTAATCCTTCTCTATAAATGTATCCGATGCATTGTGTGCACTGCCTAATGGCTGGATAACTGGGACGGCGACACGGATGATGACGACTTGCGGCAACAAGATATTCCTCCCAGACTGCCTCGTATAGATCATCTAACATCCCGTTACGCTTATCGATTTTTAACGCTAGAACTAACAAGTACATTTACATATGTATAATAGTCACATGCATCTCCTTGTGTATCAATTTTAATCGATTCAATGGGTATCGATGTAGCCTGCGACAGGTGATTCCAGCGTCAATAGTCTTATTTGCGTTACTGTAATTCAAAACCTATCTATTTATACGGCGCAACGTTTTATTGATTCGATGATCAATCGATCGATGCAATAAAAAATAATGTTTATTCCGTGAAAGACGCTTATTGATCGATCGGTGACTTCGAAGGGGTCAAGCGACGAGAATTGATATCACAAGGTGCACTCCTTCTAACGCGGATTGATGATATCGCGTGGATTCTAGGATAGACTCGTCGCAACCATCCGGAAATTTTCAGTAGGCTACGCAATCCTCGCTTCTTGCGTTATCCAAAGTATGTTGAGTGTATATATTATTCTGGGAACGTCGCCACGTTGGTGCGCGCGTCTGCGAATGACAGCAGTTGTTTCCAAGTTTAAACCAAATCTGTGTGACAGTACGCGCAGCCGGTTTTCCGATTCGCTTGGTTATCTGTATCTATCCGCGCCAGTTTTCCTAAATGAACGAGTAAAACGCTTGGAATAATTTCACGCCCATCGCATCCCGGATCCCGTCGCGGAATCGATCGAAAAGTTTAAACGCTTTTCCCACGAGGAACCTCCTACGATTTACCTTGATATTGCGATCGGAACCAGCTTTCTAATTTAAATCGGAAGGAGAATAAGAATATTGTTCAAGATGTCGGGGCGGCCGTTTCGTAGAGAGGTGGTGGGTACCGTTCGAGTGAGAGACTGAAACAGATGCACTCGTCTCGATGGCGCATGGTACGGCGAACGATACCACAGCCCTTTGCATCGATTACAAGCAAATTGATGGCAAATTGATATCGTTACGACACGTAGTCAAGCGACACCGATCATCGATCCATCATTCTGTCTGTCGTCGTTAAGAACGCAGACAATTTGTCTACCCTGGGAGTTAGTTTGGAACTAAGGGCCCATTATAGGTTCGACGAGGTTGAAAGATTAAAGATCCAATTTGATCAGGTTCCATTACTGCGAGGAGTATGGAAATGCGGCACGAGAAATATCGTTAAAAGTTCTTCCGTATCCTCAATCGACCGTTCTTCATTCCTCATCCTTTTTAATTATCCATAATAAAGAAATAATGTATTTTTCGATTGGACGATGGGATTCTGATACGTCTTTCTGTCTCTAATTGTGCCGGTCGATAGTAATTTTCTAAATAATTTGCGAACGATTCAAATGGAAAACTTCACACCAGCCAAATAACGTTGAATAATTTCCTGCACGATCGGCTTATTGGATTACTGATGATCACCGTATTAATTGCGCAACGTGCATTTATAATTATCCTTTTAACGCATGAAACTTGAGTTTAATTATAGTGGCTAAAAACGCAGCATATTAATTGCTCATTAAAATCAAAAATTTGTCCTTATGATCGACCATGTGTATACGAAATGTTGATATTCTTTTCTCATTGGAGGTCTCCCGTTTGTTCGTTACGAAAATTTCTCTCCGACCATGTATGGATTCGTTGGGCGTACTAAGGACAAACGATTCAATGCGAAAGGCGATCGAAAACCGAGAACCGGTTTTGTTACTAACGGCGACAGACTTGTACAGCCGATCAGAAAGAAACAATTGAAGCTGCGATTCACAGAGCAGCAAGAGTTTTTCTTTAAAAATGTATTGACTGTACAGTCAATCCTAAAAGTTTATGTACCTTAGAAAAACGCATTTCCTATAATTAAAAAGAAATCAGACGTCGGAAGAATAATGCTAATAGTAAATAGTTACGTGCTAAAAAGTATAGAAGGAAATATCCAATTAATTATTGACGCTGGCGAAATGCTTTTTATACAGAAGTTGTAGACAATGATATCCTCTACAAAGAAAGATTC